AGAAATTCCTAAAGAATTAATGAAAACATATTTTAAAAACTGAGCGGTGGTGGCACACGCCTTTAATCCCAGCACTCGGGAGGCAGAGGCAGGCAGATCTCTGTGAGTTCGAGGCCAGCCTGGTCTCCAAGAGCTAGTTTCAGGACAGGATCCAAAAGCTACAGAGAAACCCTGTCTAGAAAAACCAAAAAACCAAAAAAGAAAGAAAGAAAGAAAGAAAGAACATGGTTCATCAAAGAAAACACACAGAGGGCAAGCAAGTATATGTGAAGATGATCAACATTAGAGGTCATTAATATAAATTAAAACAATGTTAAAACACACAACCGTTTCCATGGCTAAGACCCAAATGCTGACACTACCAAATACTAGTGAGGCTGTGTAGCAGCAGAAAACCATTTGTTGTCAGTGGAAGACAAGACAACACATATTGGAAGACAGTTTACCAACTTCAAACAAAAACATACCTTAACTACTGGCTCTAGTGACTATCAGCCTTTGTAGTTCCCTAAGGGACTTGCAAGCCTACACATGTGTTTGTTTATTTGTGATTGCCAAAACAAGGCAGCACCTAAGATGCTCTTCAATAAGTGATAAAGTGTCACATATAGAATGGAATTTTACTTTGGAAATAAAGGAAGGACTCTGTGTATTGAAAAGAAGTCAGTCTGGAAATGCCACACACTATGTTCTTACTACATAAATATCCGGAGAGGCAAAGCTACAGATAGGACAAAGGTGAGCACTTGGCAAAGGGCTCAGAAACAGGAGTGAGTAGGTAGGACATGGGATTTACAGGGCAAAATATTTCCTTTGCACAATGCTGGTGATACATGTCATTTATACACTTGTCAAACCTCAAAGCACTGAGTTAAACAAAGTGTGGACTTTGATGTAAATTATGGACTTTGGTAAATAACAATGTGTCAATATTAGCTAATCAATATACCACATACCACACGAAACCCAGGTGGTACTCACCTTTAATCCCATCAGCACTAAAGAGGCAGAGGCAGGCAGATCTGAGACTGAGACCACCCTTGTCTATAGAGTGAGTTCTAGGACAGCCAGAGAAACTCTGTCTTGAGAAAAACAAAACAAACAAAGGGAAAACAGAAAAACACAACAACAACAAAACCTAAAACCAAGCAAACAAACAAAAGAACAAAGACCCAGATATACCACACTAAGGGTGCTAACAATTAGGTGGACAGCCATACAACCATGTGCAGTACATTCTGTAAACTCCAACCTGCTCAACAAATATCTGCGATGAAAAAAGCGGGGGAGAGATAAGTAGACCCTTAAGACCAATAGCAGTCAGGGTACCACAGAGACAAAAATGAGTCAGAAGAAAACAATTTAAAGAAATACTAAATGAAAACTCTCTACATTTGGTAAAATTCAAATTTATAGGTTCAAATTTAGGGAAGCCCAAATAGAATATACATTTTACATACGCCTTCCTACCACAGCCGGGCTGTGTAACTGTGAAACTTTTGAAATCCCAACACAAGGAATTTTTAAGATGTATTTGTATTTTTAGGTATGTATGTATGTATGATGGGGAGCAGTGCCCATGGAAGCTGGAAGTGGGGAGTGGGCTGAGCTGGAGTTCCAGCAGTTAAAAGTCACCTGACCAGGGTGCCAGAACCAAAATTCAGGTTCTCTGCCTGAGCAGTACATGCTCTTTAACCACTGAGCCATCTCTCCAGGTCCCACAACAAGGGAATTTCAAACATCTTCTGGGGTGGGGGTGGGGGGCTGATACCTTATGTACATGAAACATGGAATGATCACAGATGACCCCGAAGAAACAATAGAGGCTAAGTTCATGTTTCTTCGCAAGTCCCTTTCATTGCTAATCTTCCCCATTTTCCACAATCCAAAAGAATACTCGTGAAGTACTAGTAGTGGGATTAGTGATATCAACAAAAAAGAATGTCTGTGGGAAAATAAAAACAAACCCACAGACTTCCCTTTCACCTGTGTTACTTACTGCTCCTTACCCCGTGACTAGAAAGGTCAGCCTAATTGTATTAGTTCAACTATTTAAAAAATAACATGGGAGGTGTAGCTACAAAGATGAAACCTTACGGAGTTATTTCATAAGCCATTCTAACACCAAGCCAATATGTGGATATTTAAAGGTCTAAAAAAACTTCAATATCAAATTAAAATCTAAAATGCTCTGAGAAATCAGATGCTAAAAACTTCTAAAAGACAACAATAACAAACAAAAAACCCTACAGACAGGAAAGAGATATTAATGCAAAGAACATGGAGTCAGAATCCAGGGGAAAACATGAACTGTGTCCACTCGCATGTGAACTTTGCTACATAAGTTCTCATTTGGTGGGAGCAACTATCAAAGCCCAGGAAAACTGTCAGTCAGCCATTTCTTTCAAGAGGAAGTTGGCAGCCCTGCCTGGCTTGTCTGAGAGGTTCTGAACCTTCCCAACAAAGATAAGAAGAGTAAGACTTGTCAGTGAAACTTCTTGCCAAACAGTAAGGTGGTATTAACAATGTTTCCCAACCTGTGGGCTTGGGATGCCCGGGCTTGGTCCAACAACCCTTTCACAGGGGTTGCTTAAGATCATTGGAAAACATAGATATTTATTCACATTATGATTTATAACAGTAGCAAATTACGGTTATGAAGCAGCAAAGAAGATAATTTTATGGTTGGGGATCACCCCAGCATGAGGAACTGTGTTAAAGGGCTGCAGCATTAGGAAGGTTGAGAAGCACTGGAAATCATTTCTAATGATTACATTCCCACTGAAATGTGTTTCCTTACAGCACTCAGTCCTGTGGCCTTCTTCCTGGCTAGTCTCACAGGTAGTTGGTATGCAAACTGAGAACAGAGCCTCATTTTGTGAGGTCTTCTAACTAGCCCAACAATCACTAGGCCAGGCTCGAGGCTTGGGTTCTTTCTGCTCATGCCTACTACCTACCTATGATAGGGCATCACGTTTCTGGATATTAGTGTCCTAGAACACAACCTCTAACACACACACACACACACACACACACACCCCTTTTATTTCCTTAACACAGACATTGCTGTGCAACTTTTCCTTGATAGGTTTGTTGTTTTCATTAACATTTCAAAGGAATCTGTAAGCTCGGAGAAGTGTGGCAACCCTGATACACTGCATTTTTCCCAGAACACCCACAGTTCACTTGGTTCAGTCACGTGTCTCTTAGGCTCGTTGGACTTCCAGATCTCACTAATCAGTGCCTGTCGCCATCTCCCGTCACATACTTCACAGGTATCAAAAGCTTTCACTTAAACCCTCAATCGTTCCAAGTCTTTCTTCCTCAGTCCCCCCCCCCCCCCATCAAGTGCATCAAGAAGTTCCACAAGACCAAACTTGTCATTTGGCATTCCCTTTACATTTCCCCACTGTAATGTTCTGTCTGAACCCCCCTCCACCGCTGAGGCAGGCATATCTTCCTCTCTGCTTGCTTCCGGAGCCAGTCCCTTTCTGTCTCTCTCCCAAAGAGGTAGCTGCTGTGTGGCTCCTCTCCTTCTCTCCCATAATCCACTAAAGAAATATCCAACCACACTCTGCATGGTGTGCCTATCTGTCTTGGTCTCTCACCTGCCATGGCTCCCTGCCTCTGGGAATTGGGACTCCCTGCCCTTCGTGGCCCCACCATTCGGGGAATGGTGGAACCGCTATTTTTACCATTACACCCACCACAGCCTATTGATGGTCACCTTACTGTCAAGCTCACGCCCTAAGTTCCTTATTTTAAAGGCAGTGCCGGAGCCGAGAGGAAATCAAGAAAGAGTAGTGGCCAGACGGTGCCCTCCCCGTTTGAAATGCTTGCATTGCCTTCCCCTGGGGTTATGATAATGCCTACACAGTCCACTTCGTATTTGCACCACCAAATAGGTCTTTAGATCACGTGAAGTCTTCTCCTGCTTCAGGGATTTGATACGCCTCATAGTCAACAGAGACTTGTACCTTTAAGTTAAAATTTTGTTTCCTGTAGAGTTGAAGGAGCGTGAAATTTCTTAAAACAATAACCCTGCAGTTAGGTACTGAGGGCCTGCACTTTTCTGCAGTTGCTCACACTAAAGGAATGGAAGAGAAAAAGGAGTGAGGCGGAGTTTCAAACAAGCCACTGCCAATTATTTTGAGGGATCAGGGCACCCGAGTGGAGGTTCCCTGAAGCCTCTTGGGGAGTATTCTCTTCCCCACACGCCGTGGCTGAGACCAGGCCTCTGCGCTTCAGTGCACACCCGCTCTGCCCCAGACCACCTCGTTCGTGCTTCTGGCACCACCGCGTTTTCCTGCAGAGTTGAGTAAGTAAGAAAGAAATCACTTCACGCCAGTGACTTCCAAGGTCAGGAGCAGAGCCGACCTGGTCTCCAGTCTGTCCGCTGGAAACTGCACCGCTGTCGCCCGAGCCTCCTACGGAGTTTCCTCCTCAATGCAAACAATGTCTATCCCGGCCCCAACCCGGGGAAATGACCTGCACCCGCCACCTCGGCTTGTCCCCAGAGCCCAGAAGCCGAAGCCCGGCCAGGGGTCACCAAGCGCGCTGGCTCACCTCGTAGCAGCGCCATGGTGAAGCTCAGTTACTCCGTGGGGCTGTGTCGGCAACACTCGGCCACCCGCCCTAGCCCAGTCTTAAGAGTATGGGCGGCGCTCCGCGAGGCCGCACCCCTGCCCTTTCCCCTACTTTGCCCCCCCCCCCCCCAGCCCCAATCCCCGCTGCCAGGGTCAAGGTTACCCTAATCCATACCACGTGTGCCCCGCGCCCCTCCCCTGGGAACCAGGGATGACCTCGGCTACACAGTCCTATCATCTGTCCCATCCCTGGCTTCTAGAAACCCTATCCGCTCTGTCCATCTCTAGGCTGGGGCATCGAGGTACAGGACTAGCGGCAAGATCCCAGCCCCGCCCCACCCAAGCCTGAGTGGGCGGGGCCGACGGGCAGGGGCGGGGCTGGCGGCGGCGCGGTGAGAGTGGCTGCCCCGCGCCTGCGCAGTCTGATGGCTGAGGCCTGGGCTACTCTTCGGGTTTTTGCAGCCGGTAGCTGGGGCGCCTGGAGAAGGGAAAGGGAATGCAGTAGAGTAGGGCGCGCCTGGGACCCTGACTCAGCCCCAAGTGAGCCCGAGGTATTTTCCTTATATGATCAGGCCTCCGTGGCCGGCGCTGCTGGTCCGGAGCCTGAGAGGATTATGAAAACGTGGCAGGTGATGGGGCCCGGGGACCTGGCGCGGGGAGTTGAGGGGTGAGGGACCGAGGGGGAGGTGAGGCTGGGTGGGGGGCGCAGGTTTAGGGATGCCCACGCCGCCTGCTCTGGGCCCTGCCGATGATGACGTGACCACTGCGCAATCTGAGTTCTGGGAACCAGGTGATGGAGTGTGCTGCGAACACTGAGGCCAGGCGAGCAGGAGGCGGCCTGGGCAGAGCGGGGAGATCGGGAGCGTAGGGTCCCGCGGCGCCGAGCCGCCTGGGCTGACGGTGGCAACGGGGCGGGGCGTGGGTGGCGCTGTTGACTTGTATTAACTCCTCAGCCACCGCCCGCTCCAGTTAAGCTTTGTGTTTGTTGTTTGGCCCGCTCCCTTGGAGTGGGGGACTGCATTTTTAATCTAAAATCTCTCTCTCTCTCCCTCCCCCACTTCCCCTTCCTCCCTCCCCCAACCCATTTTTTTTTTTTTTTTGAGACAGGGTTTCCTGCTTTCTGGAACTCGCCCTGTAGACAAACGACGAGCTCCGCCTAAATGCTGGGATTAAAGGCGTGCTCCTCTACGCAAGGCTTTAACCTAATCGTTTTTCGTGAAAACTTTCAAGGAATTACAGAAATGTGAAAAGGTCCGTGCAGAGAACCTGCTGTTTGCTCTTTCACATCTGCGCATTAAAACCTTGTCTTTAAAAGATTGACGTTGACTTCACCCCGCGAACACTTCAGCATACGTTATTTACAGTTCTCTTAGGAGTTTTCATGAAGTCATTCGCATACAAAGCTCAAACTAGGTGAGCAAATATCTGTGCTCTCTCACGCGTTCCTCTTATTTCAAGTTACCACCAAGAGGGACTTCCAGGTTTACTATTGAATGTAATTATAAATGACCTGAATGGGCCCCGATAAAATCAGAGTGAAAAGTTAGCGTATACTCAAACAGGTATGTGTGTCACTGCAGTTCCAGGATCAGAAAAGGAACTGAGGCGTTCCCTTAACCAGATGATCAAACTTAGAATCCCCTTGCTGTGAGGAGGACATAACTCATGTAGGGTTCCTCCCCGGAATCACCTGAGCCTAATCACTGCAAGACAAGCCCAAACTTCATTGGTATGTAGGAGACTGGCGTTTGGAGGGTTTTGTTTTGTTTGTAGTTATGCACAGAAATGTTTAGTTGCAACAATCTGCAACTAAAGTCATGAAGCAAGATGCATAGAAATGGTAGGGAGCAGGAAAACAAATGGGAAAAATGTCACCAAGGAGTGGAAAAGTGTGTGCTACTCTGTTCTGTCTTCCCATGTCTTGGAGGCTTAACATTCTTCACGAAAAGGAGGGGAGTATTCTTCACCTAGGCTACAAAATTACGTAGAAGTATCTCTAAGGTAGTTAAATAGGTACACTCCTGTAACACTATGCCTTTCAAAATAAACTGGTCTAGACAAGAGATAGTGTTATTACCTGTCTAGACAAGAGATAGCGTTATTTATTACCGGTCTAGACAAGAGATGGCATTATTCCGTTCTTATATGTTTAGCCTCCAATGTTTTTCGAAAAGCAGTGTTATCTTTCTGTAGTTAATTTTGGAGGGAAAGATGTAGTGTTAACATAAAATTGGAAATTAGTGAGTCCATTGTAAATCTGTAAATTCTACTGTTAAGATTATCCGAGACCTCAGAACTGTCTAACTTCAGTCCTTTCTCTCACTCTTTCTGAATCACTTTTCCATGCTAACAGTTTTCCTTCTTTTCCTATAATCAACGTTGACAGAATTGCAGTACTGGCTGCTGAGGAGAGCAAGCAAAGTCCTCGGGAGCTGCAATAGTTTTTAACATGTGTGTGGTACATGACTATAATCACAGCACTTGAGAGGCCATTTGTGTCAGCACGGACTACACAAGACCCTGTGTCGTCCCCACTCCCCACCCCCACATAGTGACGGTACAAGTGGAAAGCTGTGCACATGCACACAGTTAGTCTGCCTTGGTGAGGTCTTCAGTTATAAGGCCAGTATTAGCTTGGCTCCGGTTTTTACTTACAGCAAATATTTGCTCTCTATGAAGTTCAAGCTGCCAAACAAGGATAAAGAAATAAACTACAGTCATGAAGTGGTAGACATGGATTTGAGAGCTTGCTTATTGTAAGTTTACCCTGTCTTGATGCGCTCCAGTAGCCGTGAGGCACTGTCTTAGACTTAACTTCTTCTCTGTTTGCAAGCCATTTGCAAATTCCAACAAGCCTTTAATAAGATGTCATGTAGCAATACAGCTTAGAGCAAATCTCGGCACATCTTTGAGTACATGGTCACCCTGGAAAGCAATGATATTGGTGGAAGAAGACAACATTGTTTGGATGTCATTCAGTCAGATAGGTTCTGAGAAACATTTGTAGTTAATGTTCATACAAGGAGGGAAAGTGCACACCAAGGGCATGCCTCAGGGAATTGATTGTATCTCAGCAAGAAGATGCTAGGGTTTTGGTGTTTGGTTAGGGTCCAAAGAAGCAGGAGCTCCTGTCTGGGGATGGGGAGACACAGTAAGTACTAGATCAGCCAGTCTACATAGGGAGATCTTGTAAGATAAGTATACTTCATCAAACTAAGATTGTCATGATGTCATTGGGCAATACAACTTAATGGGAACACTGGTAAACAGTCCGAGAAAATGTGGCTTGAGCCACACACAGTGAAGAAGCTGCAGTCCCTCGTGGTAGCTGGAACTGTTCCATGGTTTCCATTTTTCTGTGCTTAGACAAACTTAGGAAGTCATCTTGTCTCATCTCACATAGGTCACAGTCGGCGTTGGCCTTTATAAGATCATGTCTGTCTGGTAGTAGCAGCCATGTGGCCCTTAGCCAGGTTCCAGATTTGGAACTGTCTTTTTTCTCATCTGTTGGCTGGTAAAGGTTTCACGTGTAAATACAGCTTGACATGGAAAATGTTACAGGCCTAGCTTGGAGGGCCAGGTAAGGCTTCCTTCGAGTATTCTGTCAGTTCCAGAGGAAAGGACTCTACTCTCTGGTTGGAATCTGGGTCCAAAGACTTTTCACTAATACATTGTAAACATCACTAGTTTTTAAAATGCAGAGCTGTGGACCAAACCAGAGTCTGGTACATGTTGTGTATGCCTTCTACCTTGAGCTACACCTTCGCCTACCGTGAACATTTGCATAGTGGTTCCTGGGGCTGTGTGTCTGAGAGCATCATCCATCCATGGAGATGCCTTGTTTTGTAAGTGTAGGAAGGGCTGGAGATGTGACCTTTACCAGTTCCCAGGCGATTTAGATGCTTTTTGCTCAGGAGGGAGTAGGAGTTCTATGTTTCTGGGCAGATGTTTAGCTACTGGTCTATTTTATTCTATTGATTCATTTTTCTGATGTCATGCCAATGTCATATAGCTAACTTGCCAGGGATAGGCTTCCCATCTTCTCTAGGAACTTTTGCAATTCCACAGAGATTTTAAAATGGGCTTGTCAATTTTCACATTAAAAAAAGGCATTGAGAGCCGGGCGGTGGTGACGCACTCCTTTAATCCCAGCACTCAGGAGGCAGAGGCAGGCGGATCTCTGTGAGTTTGAGGCCAGCCTGGTCTACAAGAGCTAGTTCCAGGACAGGAACCAAAAGCTATGGAGAAACCCTGTCTCGAAAAATCCAAGAAAAAAAAAAAGGCATTGAGATCTCAATCTTTCTAGGATGCAGATGACAACATGGTGTTGTCTTTATCAGTGGAAATGCATTATTTCCGAGAATTGCAGAAAATTTTGCTACCAGCTTAATGTATCTCTACCGCAGCTACACATACAATTTGCTTGTCTTGCCTCGGGGCTCCATTCTTTTTTGTCAACCTGCTAGTCTTTCTTGATACCCAAACTTCCCTGAATGGTAAAGCTCTAGAGTGACTGTTCAATAAGCCTTGTTAGCTTCTAGACCAGCGGTTCTCAACCTTCCCAATACTGCGACCCTTTAATACAGTTCTCGTGTTGTGGTGACCCCCAACCATAAAATTATTTTTGTTGCTACTTCATAACTTTAATTTTGCTAGTTATGAATTGTAATGTAAATATGTCTTTTTTCAATGGTCTTAGGTAACCCCTGTGAAAGGGTCATTTGACCTATAATGGGGTCATGACCTACAGGTCGAGATCTGCTGTTCTGGAGCAAGCCCTCTCCCATCTCTAATACAGGTGGCTATGTATTGACATAAACAATCACACATAACTGAATCTATGCCCCAGAATAAAATTTCTCAAGGAAACATTAAAAATAGGGGCCAGGGAGCCAGGCGGTGGTGGTGCACATGCCTTTAATCCCAGCACTCGGGAGACAGAGGCAGGCGGATCTCTGTGAGTTCGAGACCAGCCTGGTCTATGAGAGCTAGTGTCAGGACAGGCTCCAAAGCTACACAGAGAAACCCTGTCTAGAAAAATCAAAAAGAAAAAAAATAGGGACCAGGGAGGTGGCTCTGGATAAGAGCGTCTGCTGTGTGAGTAGGAGGACCTGAGTTCAAATCCATATCACACAAAAAGCTGGGTGCACAGGCATATTTATAACTCCAGTATTGGGAGCAGAGATGAGTGGATATTGACAGTTTGCCGCCTAGCCCTGAAAGTGCGCTTCCAAAGAACAAGACAAGAAACCTTGTCTAAATGGAATAAAGTAGATAGTGATAGAGGAAGGTACTGAGCATCCTTCCCTGGCCCCTCACATGAACTGACATGGGTAGATGTACACACACATACACACATACACACACACATACACACACACACACACCATGAGGAGGCTAGAGAGATGGCTCAGGTTAAAAGTACTTGTTCAAAAATCACAAGAACCACAGACTTCAGTTTCTGGTGCCCACCTAACAAGCAGCAAACGCAAGCAAGAAGACTCACTGGGGCTTGTGTTCTTCCAGTCTACCAGAGGAAACAGCTGCAGGTTCAGGGATGAGACAGGATGATTGAGACCGCAAACACATACACCCCACATATGTGTGCACACTTCTCCAGGTACATATGCATACACACATGCATACAAATCTTTAATAAAATAGACTGTAGCCAATACTGCTTTTAATCAGCCTGTCATTTTAAATTTTGCTCAGATTTGGCACACACTTTATTCAAAAGTATTTATTTCCACAAATTTTTATCCACAGCTGAATAATTACAGCAACCATTATAAGCATTTTTTCTATAACAAAGCTGTAGTTTACAGACTTGTCCAAAATGGAAAATATATTTTTTCAGCAGCATTTCTTCTGCAGTGTTAGATTTACCCCTGAATATTCTGTGAACTCCCTCAAAGAGGCAGGCCTTTATCTCAATGCCAGTTGATTGCAAAATGTTACATCCAATTGGTTTCTTCTTAACAGTGTGCTTTTAGGCAGCAGCCTGATTCCATCTGGTTGATTCCCTTGGTTAGAATGTATTTTGTTATAGTGTGTGTGAGGGCAGACATGCGCCATGGCTCCTGTGTGTGAGTCAAAAGACCTTTCACTGTGGGCTCTGGGGACTGAACACAGGTTGTCAGCTTCCATGGCAAGTACTCTTACCTACTGAGCCATCTTGCTGTCCCAAATCTTATTTAAAAAAGAAAAAGTTTTAGTATTCAATGATGTCCATAAGAAAGAAAAAACTTCTCATTGGCATTAACCTCTAATTTTCTACCCTCTGTAATTCTGTGAATATGGGACCAATGTATAAGTATAAAAAGTGAAGCATTGGTTACTTGACTCATCTAGCAAGTCAACGTTAGGACTCAATAGCAAATGTTATAAGGAAATGAGAGGCCCAACGCTAGCACGTTTAGCGCCCACTTACTCATAGTGGTCAAGTGTTTGGGAAGTAGTCAATTTATGCAAAAGAACTGGATTTCAGTTTGTTGCCATAGTCCTCAATGCATTCATTAGGGCTCTAATAGTTAAATTAGTGGTAGATTTTAGGGACCTACGTTCTCTAAACTCCTCGTTTTCACAAGAACCTTGACATTTTATCCTAAGAAAAATCAGAGGAAACCACTCCAATGATGTGTTCCATGGAAAGTGGGGAAAAGCCTACCATTGGGTCTGCGAAGTGAGCCTACGGATGCTGACCGTCTAACTGCAGCTGGGATGGCCTGGGGAGGATGTGCACAGATAACATCCTTGTCTGCTTCCATGGCAACTAATGTATGTGAAAATACGCCCATACTCTAGGAAGTGGGTAGTACCCCTGTGCTAATTCTGGAAACACAAATGGTGGATGTGTGAATATGGGTTAGTTTTGAAGGTGCTTGCTTCATGGGATGAATCAGAAGCCCATAGGAACATTAAGTTCTTCTGACAGCGACTCCTTTAGGGAATGAGCAGGAAGTCGGTTATTTCAGCAACTGCTAAAGGAACGTGGTGGAATTGTAACTACTCAGAAGCAGAGATACCTAGAGAAGAGTTCAAACTTGTGTTGCATTTATTTAAAGTAAAAGATATTGTTGATTTCGTGAAGCTGGGAAGTTCTTCAAATGAGCTTTGCCTGAGGACCTGGGTTAATTCCCCTGCACGGGGGGGGGGGGGGATACACAGAAAAAAAATGTTTAAAAAAAATGCTTAGAGTTTCTCACAAGGTCCCTTTCACTCTCCACATCTGCAACGAAACAGGGAGGCTGTAAAGGTCCAGCAACCACTGTATTGCTAAGCATAGCTCAGTGGAAACCCTGGTCTTCTTAGGCTGTAGAGAGGGTTAGTTAACCCCTCCCTCCATCTGGCTAATTCCTAAGCTTTTATTTAGTGAACCTTTGTACCTCCTGACTAACTGGGAACAGGAGAGTAGTAACCCACATAGGGGGTAGGATGGGGGGATGGGAAGGTGATGGTTTTAAACCGTGTATGGGCTCAGAGCCACATTTGGGAAGGTGCCACCTCCTAAAAATGCTTAACAAGGCATTTTTGGTGTTCTTATGGGTCTTTACACGAGTTCATTTGAACACTAAAGTGTACTAAAAAGGTAAATTATTTTCATTAATAACTTTAAAGAGGTAGCCACAGATCCAGGTTTTTTTTTTTTCTTTTCATTTTTTTTCCTGGCTTTCCAAACGGTTTGCATTTGGGGGTTGACATGTCAGGGGCTGATACTGAGGAGTGGGGCTGTACTGCTCTTGGAGAGAGACCCCCAAGAGCAGCTGTGGTGTTTATTGTGGGCACAGAAGGGAGGATGCAGATAACAATGCATTTGTTGTCGTCAGATTTAGTCAAGCCAGGTGCTGCTTCTTGTTCTGGCCCCAGTAGGCAAGGACGACTGGGAAGCTCAGGATTTTAGGAGTTGGAGTCTACTGTATTCTGAAGAACCTTCTAAACTGGGCAACACTCTGGGAGATCTTCTAAAGTACGGATAAATCTCAGTGTGATAATCAGGCTCTTGTATGATTTGCAAACAACCTGCTACTGTCATAGGGACAGCACACACTTTTAATAAACACTGATTATAAAAATGGGTAGAAAGAATTTATAGGTTGTCCAACCAAACCTTGTTCTCGAGTCCTAAAAAGTCCCCCAGAGCAAAACAAAATTCTAAGAGCAGCGAGTACACAAGCCTGTTCTATTATTACTAAATAGTCTTTTAAATCTTTCATAGTAAAATATTTACATTGATTTTTAAAGTTTGAAAAAAATGTTGAGAATAACTTGAGAAGGGAAAGTTGGCCCTAAGCTATTATAATCTTTCAAAGCAGTTTCTAAAAAAAGCCATCAATCTTTGGACAATAACTTAGTGACCACGCTTTCTCCTCCAGAGACTTTTCAGACAATTTGGTTCTGGAACTGAAGTTTGTTTCCCTTGTGATTTTGGGGTCTAGAATCCACAGCGCACTGTGAAGACCTGGTTGAAGGTTTAGTGACATTGGGGAGTTAAAAGCTTTCACGCTGGTTCTGTTTTTAGGCCTGCAGATAAATGGTATCCATTCTCACCTACCATTTTTTTTCATATTTACAGTGTTGCGGAGGCTTTGCTGGTCTCAGGGCACTGACTGGCACTGGAGACTGTACTCCACCTTTCTCACACGTGGCCCTTGTGATGGCAGCATGGCTAGAGCGGCTCTCCCATAAACCTGAGACTTTCACAAAAACTCAAGCATACCAGGGTCCACATCATCCAATTTGCTGAAACAGTCTACACGATGTTTGGTCTGGAGGCCAATGGTACTGTCATCTTGTATTCCCCGGCGTTAGGGAATACCTTAGGGAAGCGTCCATGGAGGCCCAGGCCCATACTATTCTTAAAACTCTCACTACGAGCTCACACACCCCTTTGGTTTAACAATATCCATCATGTTTATGGTATTAGTATCATTATTTGTTGAAAGACCCACGAAGGCAATTTACGTCATTATTTTTAATATTATCTTAACTTGGACATCCTCCAGTTACACACAGAGATCGCAGCTAGGCACTTCTACTCTTGAACTGACAACTGGAGCTATTTGGCGCTGTTCATTTTGACATGCCTTTGTTTAAACTCAAGTCAAACCTCTAACAGTCTTCCACATTCAAGTGTTTTTATTCTGAGCAGCATATACAAAAACTAATGACAGTGAGCGTCACTTCCTTTAGTTCAGTACTCTCCACGGGTTCTCTAACTCTGGTTTGATCTACTTTGGGCATATTGATCTAGAATTCTCTCAGCTGATTGCATGTGCTTCCTTGTTTGCCTTGGAAGCATGCATCCTCAGACTTCATTGAGAAACTCCAGGTTGAGGCATGCTGGGATGTGGATTGAGTCCATGGTCAGAGAAGACGGATTAAATGGAAAGAGAACAGGAAACATGTGTTTGGAGTCCAGCAGGAGCTGCTGAGGGTCATTCCTCTCTTGTAGTTGGGCCTGGGAGGAGAGAATAAGATCATGTAAGTATTTAGCACAATCTGAAAAGTTCAAGTAACTTCACCAAACTTAGTGGGCATGGTGTACAGGCAGATTTCTGAGATGATCTAGAAGGTGTGCAGGATTAGGAGAATGTGGTCTTTCTATGTCCCTGAAACATGGAGAGGAGACAAATCCCAGTTTACATTGTTGGAGATCAGATGGTTAAACACGTTCCCCGTTCTAGAGTTATTTTAATTCTTCCAGCTAAGGGAGAAGGCAAAACTATGACTTAAGTGCAAATCCAATGGGGAAGACTGTCGTGGCATGGCTCATGAATCAGGTTCTCAACCTTCCTAACAGTGCAAACCTTCAATGCAGTTCCTCATGTTATGGAGATTCCCCTCCCCCATAAAATTATTTCATTGCTACTTTGTAACTGTAATTTTGCTACTGTTACGAATCATAATGTAAATACCTGTGTTTTCCAATGGTCTTAGGTCAACCCTGTGAAAGGGTTGTTGGAGCCCCCAAAGGGGTTGCTACCTAGAGGGTGAGAACCACTGCTCTAGGGGAAGACTACCTGCCCTGAACAAATGTCCAAACCTTCCTGTGTCTTAATTTTGTCACCTGCAGAATGAACATCATGGAAATTGCCAAGGCAGGAAGTCTCGAGGTCAGCCCCTCACTGAAACATTTACTGAGCCTGTAAGAGTGACCCTGTTAACTATTTCAAATTCTGGGACCCACTTAGAGACCATTATAACCCTGTTTGATCAAGACAGAGGCTGATCTCTGTGAGCATGCAGCTGATCCTGTTCATATGCCCCATTCTTCAGCCTCAAGTCTGGCTATAGAGGCCCACGTTCCTGGAGTAGTTTGGGGGTGCCAGGGAAAGCAGTGGGATTTTGACCTCTAAAGTTTGAGATTGTGCACTTTGGTTCATCTGGTGGGATCTAACATGGATAATTGTCAGATAAAGTTTTTCTCGGGGTACAGTGGTCTTAGTGGCATCAATTGGAATATTTAAAATGACAAATCCTCTTCCCTTCTCCTCTCTAAAGCCAGATGTTTTAAGAAAAGTACAATAACCAAAATGAATTTCACTAAAGGAGTTCTACGGCAGACTCGGGAAGGTAGGCAGGAGACTCAGTGAGCTAGGAGAGAATAGTGTTGAGGTGACCAAGTCTACAAAAGGGTAAGAATGAGTGAGAACGCTAGGGCCAGGTGCAGTGCTGCTCACCCTATAACCCCGGCACTTGGAAAGTGGAGACAGGAGGACCAGGCTTCAAAGTCCTGGTTACATAGTAAGTTTGAGGTCAACCTGGACTATGCTGGAAAACAAGACCCTGGTGGAAAACAAACAGCTCAAGGGTCCAGGAAGCAAAGTATCAACATACATACTATAGAAGTCCCAAAAAGGAATGAGGAGGAAGAGGGGCAGAAAAACATTTACTAAACCCATCCCAAATCCAATGGGCATTATGTATGTATACTAAACCCATCCCAAATCCAATGTACAGTATGTATGTATACTAAACCCATCCCAAATCCAATGTACAGTATGTATGTATACTAAACCCATCCCAAATCCAATGTACAGTATGTATGTATACTAAACCTATCTCAAATCCAATGGGCAGTATGTATGTATACTAAACCCATCCCAAATCTGATGGGCAGTATGTTTGTATACTAAACCCATCCCAAATCCAATGGGCAGTATGTATGTATACTAAACCCATCCCAAATCTGATGGGCAGTATGTTTGTATACTAAACCCATCCCAAACCCAATGGACAGTATGTATGTATACTAAACCCATCCCAAATCCAATGGGCAGTATGTATGTATACTAAACCCATCCCAAACCCAATGGACAGTATGTATGTATGAGTGCATCTAAGCTCATTGAACTTTAAATAAGATAAACCCACACCCTGAGACATACAAATTGTCAAAGCCCCAAGGCAGGGAATCTTAGAATAATAGAGAAATGTGTGTGTCATAGATATCCTGAAATGAGATTAGCCATTGATCTTTCATCAGATGCAGGGGACTTTCGGAAGCAATAGGATGACATCACTAAAGTGGGGGTATGAGGGTGGGATGGAACATGAGAATTTTATATCTGATAAAATTTCCTTCAAGGACAGAGGAAAATTTATGTCATTTCTGGAGACAAAGACATTTGATAAAAGTTTCAACTCATCATGAACAATTACAGATGGAAGCACAATTAGAAACAAGGCCTACAGAATATATGATGCCCGAATTGACGGAACTGAAGAGAGAGAGAGAGGTCTCCATTAATGGTGGGACGCTTTGGTCTCCCACTTCTGATAGGGTATAGCACTGTGAGGTAGGGTCAGTAAGCAGGCATGATGGACACTTTAGGATGGAAGTTAGGTCACGGGGGCATGCCTTTGAAGAGATACAGGGATTCCAGACCTTGCTGTCTCTCACTCCCAGGCTGTAGTGCAGTGAGCAGGTACCCCTGCCTAGTGCCTGCATCATTACGTACTGTGTGCTTTCAGACAGAGCAAGGCTGACTCACCATGGATGAACTATCTGAACGTGAACCAAGATGACCCCTTTTCCCTTGCAAGCTGACTATCTGTGCCACAACGACAGAAAGCTAAATTACATACATACAGATTTCCTCTTTGGGGGTGGGGAGAGATAGAGCTTTTCTTGAAAGGTTGTGGGGCTCAAGAGTCAATACACTGAGTTCAGTTACCAGCACCTGGCAAGTGTCATATTTGTTCTTCCTGCCTTGGAATTAACCGTTAATGGTTGAACCACAAACTCCAGGCAGGCGCTGTACTTTTAACCAAGGTTACTGAAATACAGGAGTAGTGCCAAGAGGAAGGTCCATAAATCCTCATCAGGAAAACACAGGTCACGCCTGGAGGCACAAAAAGTTTGCTGTTGTTTTTCCCTCTTTGGGACTACACACTATTGTTTCAAATAGTGACAGTGTCTTCATATAGGATAACTTTCTGGAGTTTCATTGTTACCCATCGTTACAGTTGGAAGACCAAGGGCTGTCATTCGCTCAGCATCCACAGCAGCTGGACAGATCAGTAGGACACAAGAGGAAGAGGCATTTGGGGAAGGTGAGGCTAGTTACAGAGGAAAAGCCACAAGCTTCATTGACTCAGGGCACCAGTGGCTGCTCTGCTGGGATCTGGCATGCTCGCTTACTGAGAGCTGAATTGGTTCCTACAGAATGGCCACCCAGCCATGACAGTGGAGAGCAGGAGGCTCAGCAGAAAGGCACTTGGTGCTTGTGTTCCTCATAGTTTAGTTCATTAATTACATCGTGGGCACCACTGTTTAAAATCCCTGGAGATGCCCACTTAATTTTTGAGAAAGGAGGCAAAAAAATCTACTCTGGAAAGAAGGACAGAGTAGATTAACAAATTAATCACCATTAACAAATGGTGCTAGCACAGCTAGGGTTCTTATCTGCCGAAGAACGGAATTAGATTTGTATCTCTCACCTGTACGCCATCAATTTAAAATGGATCAGAGACCTTAACTTTAAACCCCAAACTCTGAAACTTTTAGGGAACTTTTTGAACACAAGGTAATGGGGTAGGCATGGAGTGTTCAAACAGAACACCAACAGCATGGGCACCAACCCCAGCACCGACTGATGAACTGCATGAAGACAAAGTCTCAGCACAGCACAGAACACAGCAGGCAGGGTCAACAGAGCACAGGTCAGAGGTGACCAAAGCTTTACCAGCTGCACTTCAGGCCAGGGGCAAACAGTGAACACTGACAAAGAATTGCAGAAATTAAATGCCGAGGGAATAAAACTGCCCACAGCAAATGGGCCAAAGAACTGAACAGACGGCTTTCAAAGGAAAAAGAGAAACACAAATGGCCAATAGCTATTTTTAAAAGTGTGTAATGCCCCAAGTCACCAGGGGAATGCAAATTAAAGCTACTCTGAGATACTACTTCGCTCCAGTCAGAGTGACTATCATCGAGAAATCAGAAAACAGAAATGAATGTCGAAGAGGATGTGCGAGAAAAGGAGCCCTATGCACTATTGGTAAGAGTGCAAATTAATACGACATTATGTGGCGAGAAAAGGAACCCTATGCACTATTGGTAAGAGTGCAAATTAATACGACATTATGTGGCGAGAAAAGGAGCCCTATGCACTATTGGTAAGAGTGCAAATTAATACGACATTATGTGGCGAGAAAAGGAACCTTATGCACTATTGGTAAGAGTGCAAATTAATACAACATTATGTGGCGAGAAAAGGAACCCTATGCACTATTGGTAAGAATGCAAATTAATACGACATTATGGAATCTGGAGACTTCTCAAAAATTAAAAAATACAACTACTATTTCTATTAAAATAGATCCAGCTATTTCACTACTGGGTATAAATATTTACCCAGAGACACTTCATGCCCCACTCTAGAGAATTTCTGTAGTAGTTGTAGACCTGGTTGTCCACAAACAGATGCACGGATAATGAAAATCTGGTATATATATTCCATTATGTATGCAATGGAATACAGCATTAAAGAAAAAAATGAAGTTCAAAAGTTTCAGGAAAATGGGTGGACTTGGAATGTGTAATATGAAGTGAGATCACACAAGCTCAGAAGGAAATAAAGCAAGTATTTCCATATGCAGAATTTAGTCAATAATATATGCATATGCATAAAGAGATGCACCTACGGTACAGTATAACATGAGACGAGAACAAGAAAGGCTAAATATAAGAGGATGATGAAGGACTGCCGGCAGGCAGTGGGCATGAGTTGTGAAAGCAGATATAAACCCAATTGTTTTTCCAGTTCTAATTCAATCATGGCTTTTTTGTTGTTGTTGTTTTGGATGGTAGACAAGTACATAAAATATATCCAATACTGAGAGTGTAAAATTTAATGTGAGGACTCACAGCTTTTGTTCTGAATGGCAATTCTAATTGTATATGAGCTCATTAAGTCATAGACTCTGGGTCTGGTTAATTTTGGTGTGTGATGT